GTTTGGGTTTAAAGACACTACTCGATTGTGAATGGGTTCGAACTGTACACTAGTCAAACGGTTTAACTAAAAACCTAAAAATTAAAAAAAGAATCAGAATTGAAAGAAATAAAAAACCAGTTTTGCTTTTGAGCCCAAAATGGGTAAAGAAAGATAAATCAATTTCAATACAGTACTTGAAGTTTATTTTTAACAATTGTTTTTTTTGAATCATTGTCAATACAAACAATTATTTATTTTATCAACTATTCAGATATTTTTTTTAAATTTCCATTTTATATTTTTTTAACAAGAAATCTATTCTTCGAATTTAATAACGTTAAAACTAAATTTTTTTCATTAAAATTAAATTATAAAAGACAAAACATTCGATTTGCTTACAACAAAAGTCGCTTATTTCATTTTTTCAATTATTTCAATTGGAAAGGAGGGAAAATATAATTTAAAGTCTGTTTTATTATTTAATCGGATCTAAAATAATCAATAACAACGAGGAAAATATTGTCATTGTTGACCAACGACAAGGTTAAGGTTGTTTAATTAAAAAAAAAAAAAAAAGCCCAGGATGTATGAAAAGAAAAAAAAAATGAAATCTTGTTTTAAATACTTAATTCTAATGAGTGAACAAAAAAAAAAATTATGAACTTTGTTAAATAAAAGATGAACAATATTCTTCAGGAAAAAATATTTATTTTGTGTTGCATGGTTAAAAAAATGCAATTTGTTTCACATCATGATCCGGAAAACAGATTTCCAAGTGACATTCTTAAACGTCCTTGATCTTGAATGTTGGAAAACCTTAACCTTGGTCGGTTGATATTCCGCACGTAGGCATGGCAAACCTTGTTCTTCTTACCAATAATTGTTTTTTTCTTGCGTCAGATTTATAAATAAGGGTTTTTTTTCAGTTTGTAGCCAATTGCCAGATCAATTTGCAGAATTTGATTTTTTTTTTTTTACAATAAATCAAATGTACAAGAATAATAACAAATACACACACCCACAACAAAAAGAAAGAAATCAGTTGAACAATATTAAAGTGAAAGTAGTTAAAAATGAAATGAATTATCGACCTCGCCGCTAAAAACGTGTGTGCTTGTGTTTAATAAAGAAATTAAGACGCCTAATTTGAATGCGAATTGAAAGTTTTGTCTGGTACCATAAGAGAAAATAAATAGGAATTATTAACAATTTTCAGGCGGATGGCGTGATAAAAGATTTTTTCTGAATTAAAAGTACATTTCCATATAAAGTAATAAAAAAAAATACTAATCAAAATCTGCTGAAGGAAAAGGAACAGTTAGTGAGAAGACTGCTGTTAGGACCTAAGGTAGTAGTTAAGCTGTCGTCAAAGTAACAATTAAATGAAATAATAAATGCAATGCTTAAAGTCTGAGAAAAAAAAAAAAAAAAAGATTACAATGTAACAATACATTTCAAATGATTTATTTTTTAGTTTCTTGTACTTCTCCGCGATGTGTACAACGGGTCATAAAATTTCCAATTTAACAGAATTGATAAGAACTTCAAAATTTAAAATTAAAAAGAATCTGTTTAATTAGCAACGACAAACTCCGAAAAAAAAAAAAAAAAAAAAAAAGTCCAGATTTCATCAGGTAACGGATTCATTTGCCGAGTTTGATTAATTAACAAACTTAGCAACTCAATTATAGAAATGAAAAGTATTTCTTTGAGGAACGAAATATTTTTACATTAAAAAAAAAAGAAAAATCAGGACCAGGAATTAATTCAAGTTTTACACGGGAGTTTATGAATTATTGTACAGATCACTTTTTAGTCTTTTTTTTTTTACTCTTTTAGTTCAAATGGCATCATCAGACACCGGTCTCATACCAACCAGCTGGTTCAGTTAAAAAATCACACACACACACACACACACACACACACACAAAAGAATAAAATTAGACTTCGTTATTTCCTCCGCTTAATCTGTTAACTAAGAAATGTTGCGTGAAGAAAGATCAAATTTGTAAATTAAAAGCCTTTTATTTTTATTCATTAGACGTTTTAGCCGATATTTCAAACAACGAAGAGAACAATAATGAAAGGAACGAGAAAAAACAAAATGCCACTTGAAAATGAATGAAGGAGAGAAAGAACCCACACTAACCTGCTGCATCCAACACTTGTACGTCGATATTGTCGGTGAGAAGACACAACAAACCATCATAGTTTTTCCCTTGTAGATTTTTCACCAGTTCTTCATGGGGAATAGCTTCATCGGAATCCCAGATAGTCAGTTCGACCCCTTTCTCCTTAAATAAATCAATTCCAGTTTGAGGAATCTTTCGAGTCACATACACACGGTAGACAGTCATGTTGGTAGTTTCAGCAATGACAGGGGAAAGATATCTAGGCTGCTGTTGTTGTAGTCGGATGCTTAAAAAAACCCAAAACAATAGCAGTAACTTCAGGTTCACAATTATTTTTTTTCTTTTTCAAACGATTAGGATCTGCTGGTCAGTAGCACGCACCGGCTCTGGCTTTTATACTTGAATGTAAACTGTAAAAGCATGCTCCGCCTTTTTCTTGTCCCGAAACTCCACCTACAAGTGGATAGACCTTTTCCTCATGGAATATTGAATAAACTAAAAACATAAAAAATTCGCTCATCAAATTACCAGTTCTTTTCCTTAAAATTCTCCTGTCTCTCAATTTTCCCATCTCACCCATCAAAATATCAAGAATTCACTGTAAATTAAATAACATTCGTGTTGAATTTGTTTCAGTCGTCCATAATAATCCACGTCCCGAAGGAACACGACAGAGCGACAATAAAATAATATAAAATAAGGAATCTTTCTCAACATTTTTTTCTATGCATTTTATTTTAAATTAAATACTCTTAATAAAAACAATCAAACTTTCTTAAAATTAAAAATAATCGCGTTTTGAGTTTCTTAAATAAGGACAAACGGAAAATATGATCACACTTTCAAAAATTGTGGTTCCAAGACTCGAGTTTGGAGACATTTCACACAATTTCAAGAAAATAAGGAAGAAATTGTTGTTTAGAACATTTTGTGTTTAAGATTTTAAAAATTGGCAGAGAAAAATCAATATTTGCAGCAAGCACGATAGATACTTAAATAGATTTGTTTACTTATTTTTATCACAAGGATATAAATGTTGAGTGCCTATTAAGTTTTTAAATAAAAACATTTAGACAAGACAAATTCTCTAACCAGTGACCCATGGTAAAGACCCAAAGTATAATTGGGATGTATTAAATTCAGGGGTCCATCTATGTTCTCAGCCTGTTCATATCTATCTATCTATCTATCTATCTATCTATCTATCTATCTCAGTCTGTTCATATCTATCTATCTATCTATCTATCTATCTATCTATCTATCTATCTATCTATCTATCTATTTTCCTTTGTATATTAAACTTCAACCATTACAAGATTTGAAAGACACTTAAGGTAAAATGCTATTGTTACGATAGTTATAGTTAATGAATTTTGTGATATGAGTGTAAAAGGAGTTGGTTGGAAATGAAGATTATCAGGATAAGAATAGATAATAATTGAAAATATCTATCTATCTATCTATCTATCTATCTATCTATCTATCTATCTATCTATCTAATCATACTTATTATAAAACCCAGGTTGTGTGTGTGTGTGTGTGTGTGTGTGTGTGTTCGTTTATACATAGGATCGGATTTCCTACATGTTTCAACCGATTTCAACAAAACTTCACAGGACTACGTAAAATTACATTGCGGTGGTTCTGACAGTGCGAAAAATTGGAAAAACTATTGTTTTGCACGAAATCAATTTGAAAACACGATTAAGAGGCATTAATGAAAGGGGACAACTCATATCGAGTTATACTTATTATAAAACCCAAGTTGTGTGTGTGTGTGTGTTCGTTTATACATAGGATCGGATTTCCTACATTTTTCAACCGATTTCAACAAAACTTCACTTTTTTTTTTGGCAGGTAGTGTTTCTTATTGTCTTGCACACTTTTTTTTTTTCTTTTACATTCAGAATGCTTTAAAATTCCATTTACAAGACAATTGTTTATAATAAAATTCTATTCAGTCAGTAGACTCATAACGATTGAAAACAATGTTTTTGTTTGAGTTTGGGTTTGACCAATTCGTAAAAAAAAACAAAAAACAAAACAAAACAAGAAAAACAAAACAAAACAAAAACAGTAATTAAGACATGCGTGTCCGTCAACCTTAAACAATAATCGTTGTCAATTTTATTTTTCAGTCTTTATGATGGTCGATACTTGATCTATCGCTTACTGTTACATCCCTGGGCAACGTCGGGATCTACTGCTAGTATGTCATATGAATGTGAAAGGAGTTGGTTGGAAATGAAGATTATGAGGATAAGGAGGATAGATAATAACTGAAAATATGTATCTATCTATCTATCTATCTATCTATTTTCCTTTGTATATTAAACTTCAACCATTACAAGATTTGAAAGACACTTAAGGTAAAATGCTATTGTTACGATAGTTATAGTGAATGAATTGTGTGATATGAATGTAAAAGGAGTTGGTTGGAAATGAAGATTATCAGGATAAGAAGGATAGATAATGACTGAAAATATCTATCTATCTATCAATCTATCTATGTTAGTCTTTCATCGCTATATATCTATCTCAGTCTTTCCTTGTTATCTATTGAGCTATTTAATATGTGACATGAATGTGAAAGCAGTTTGTTAGAACAGAAGGTTATCAGGATAAGGAGGATAGATAATGATTGAAAATTATCTATCTACCTAACTATGTCAGACTTTCTTTGCTATCTATCTATCTAAATTGTTTTTTGATATCTATCTATCTATATCTACTTACTTTTTTAAGTAAACTTCAACAAATACAAGATTTGAAAGTCACTCAATGTAAAATGATATTGTTGCGATAGTTATAGTGAATGAATTGTGTGATATGAATGTAAAAGGAGTTGGTTGGAAATGAAGATTATAAAGATAAGAAGGATAGATAATGACTGAAAATATCTATCTATCTATCTATCTATCTATCTATCTATCTATCTATCTATCTATCTATCTCAGTCTTTCTTTGTTATCTATCTATCTATCTATTTTCCTTTGTATATTAAACTTCAACCATTACAAGATTTGAAGGACACTTAAGGCAAAATGCTATTGTTACGATAGTTATAGTTAATGTATTTTGTGATATGAGTGCAAAAGCAGTTGGTTGGAAATGAAGATTATCAGGATAAGAAGGATAGATAATAATTGAAAATATCTATCTATCTATCTATCTATCTATCTATCTATCTATCTATCTATCTAATCATACTTATTATAAAACCCAGGTTGTGTGTGTGTGTGTGTGTGTGTGTGTGTGTGTCCGTTTATATATTGGATCGGATTTCCTACATGTTTCAACCGATTTCAACAAAACTTCACAGGACTACGTAAAAATTACCTTGCGGTGGTTCTGACAGTGCGAAAAATTGGAAAACTATTGTTTTTGCACGAAATCAATTTGAAAACACGATTAAGAGGCATTAATGAAAGGGGGACAACTCATATCGAGTTATACTTATTATAAAACCCAAGTTGTGTGTGTGTGTGTGTTCGTTTATACATAGGATCGGATTTCCTACATTTTTCAACCGATTTCAACAAAACTTCACTTTTTTTTGGCAGGTAGTGTTTCTTATTGTCTTGCATACTTTTTTCTTTCTTTTTACATTCAGAATGCTTTAAAAATTCCATTTACAAGACAATTGTTTATAATAAAATTCTATTCAGTCAGTAGACTCATAACGATTGAAAACAATGTTTTTGGTTGAGTTTGGGTTTGACCAATTCGTAAAAAAACAAAAAACAAAACAAAACAAGAAAAACAAAACAAAACAAAGAAACTAATTAAGACATGCGTGTCCGTCAACCTTAAACAATAATCGTTGTCAATTTTATTTTTCAGTCTTTATGATGGTCGATACTTGATCTATCTCTTACTGTTACATCCCTGGGCAACGCCGGGATCTACTGCTAGTATGTCATATGAATGTGAAAGGAGTTGGTTGGAAATGAAGATTATGAGGATAAGGAGGATAGATAATGACTGAAAATATGTATCTATCTATCTATCTATCTATTTTCCTTTGTATATTAAACTTCAACCATTACAAGATTTGAAAGACACTTAAGGTAAAATGCTATTGTTACGATAGTTATAGTGAATGAATTGTGTGATATGAATGTAAAAGGAGTTGGTTGAAATGAAGATTATCAGGATAAGAAGGATAGATAATGACTGAAAATATCTATCTATCTATCTATCTATCTATCTATGTTAGTCTTTCATCGCTATATATCTATCTCAGTCTTTCCTTGTTATCTATCGAGCTATTTAATATGTGACATGAATGTGAAAGCAGTTTGTTAGAACAGAAGGTTATCAGGATAAGGAGGATAGATAATGATTGAAAATTATCTATCTACCTAACTATGTCAGACTTTCTTTGCTATCTATCTATCTAAATTGTTTTTTGATATCTATCTATCTATATCTACTTACTTTTTTAATTAAACTTCAACAAATACAAGATTTGAAAGTCACTCAATGTAAAATGATATTGTTGCGATAGTTATAGTGAATGAATTGTGTGATATGAATGTAAAAGGAGTTGGTTGGAAATGAAGATTATAAAGATAAGAAGGATAGATAATAACTGAAAATATCTATCTATCTATCTATCTATCTATCTATCTATCTATCTATCTATCTATCTAAGTCTTTATTTGTTATCTATCTATCTATCTACCTATTTATCTATTTTCCTTTGTATATTAAACTTCAACCATTACAAGATTTGAAAGACACTTATGGTAAAATGCTATTGTTACGATAGATATAGTGAATGAATTGTGTGATATGAATGTAAAAGAAGTTGCTTGGAAATGAAGATTATCAGGATAAGAAGGATAGATAATGACTGAAAATATCTATCTATCTATCTATCTATCTATCTATGTTAGTCTTTCATCGCTATATATCTATCTCAGTCTTTCCTTGTTATCTATTGAGCTATTTAATATGTGACATGAATGTGAAAGCATTTGGTTAAAACAGAAGGTTATCAGGATAAGGAGGATAGATAATGATTGAAAATTATCTATCTACCTATCTATGTCAGACTTTCTTTGCTATCTATCTATCTATATATCTCAATTGTTTTTTGGTATCTATCTATCTATCTATCTATATCTACTTACTTTTTATATTAAACTTCAACAAATACAAGATTTGAAAGACACTCAAGGTAAAATGATATTGTTGCGATAGTTATAGTGAATGAATTGTGTGATATAAATGTGAAAGGAGTTGGTTGTAAATGAAGATTATCAGGATAAGAAGGATAGATAATAACTGAAAATATCTATCTATCTATCTATCTATCTATCTATCTATCTATCTATCTATCTATTTTTCCTTTGTATATTAATCTTCAACCATTACAAGATTTCTTTGTCTTTCTTTGTTATCTATCTATCTCTCTAATTTTGTCTATCTATCTATCTTTCTTAGTTATTCTTTGTTATCTATCTATCTATCTAATTCTGTCTGTCTATCTATCTATCTATCTATCTATCTATCTATCTATCTATCTCAGTTTGTTCATATCTATCTATCTATCTATCTATCTATCTATCTATCTATCTATCTATCTATCTATCTTATACATTAATTATTTATATCATTTGATTGCAAATAGCATATATATATATATATATATATATATATATATATATATACACCTGAATTGGATATACAAATATATCTACCAAGGAATTTATACATATAATTACATTGTGGGTAACAACAAAACCTTACCTTATTGGTGGAAATACATCTATGATTATTATTTAATCCCGCCCCCACTATGCAAAAAAACTCAGCCACATTTACTTCTGGGTTTCTTTTCAAGCAAGATGTTATCATTCTTCAACATTTAAATGAGTTTTAAGCATTACAGTCAGGTACCGCTTCAAGTTTTTGCATTTCTAAAATTCAAGCAGCTTCAGTTAAATTTGAAATTAGTCATTGAAATAATACATCTCTCTTCCAGTCTGGACCATTCCTACCCTAGGATCCGCTAAAATCATAAATTTGGAGACAAGACAAAATAAATACCTGTTAATTAAAAAACTCTAAAAAATCAGATAATTATAAGATTTTGCTGAACTCTTCAGGAATTATTTAGCAATAAACAGAATTATATTTTTATGTTTTTATAATCCCATGAGTTGATCCTGGTCAACATTAATCAATAATGTAGCCCACACTCCTGCATTTGTCTTCAAGTTCCTTCAGACTACCATGGTTACCATCTAGCTGATTCCTCACTTGTTAATACGTCGCTTGTTTGTTGCTGGTATCATGACGTTGGGTACGGTTTCACTCAACTTAGCTGGTGCTTGTTCATGGCCATTTACTTTTCTGCCATGTTGTGATTTTTGATCTCAGAGAATGAGAAGATCACTGATGATGCAAACTGAAGTGAAGCTGGGAAATACACAAAAAAGAATCTTTTGGATTAAAGAATTAACTTGGGTTAAAAATGTAACAACAATTTGGTTTATATACAATTTGTTGTATGCAGCAGTTTTAACCCTTCCCACTTGTTCTAATCAAATTACACTGGGATTCCCTTTGGAGTCTGCAGCTTGTGTTAATAGTAACTTACATTTCTAAGTCATTCTCTTCAAGTCGGGCACAAGGTCTTGGTCAGTAGGTCTTGACAAAAGATGTGGATTCCAGTAGCAGTAATGGGGGGACTCTTCTAGTTGTCCAAACCAGCACCTTAAATGGAGACCTGTGTCTGACAGGAGTGGGGTCGACCTGGGTTCTGCGTTCGGTTGTCTTCCACCCTTAGCATCAAATGTTTTCTAAAATTCCTTATTCTCAAAACATGTTTACTTGAGTGGTTTTCAAACTTGGGGTTGTCCAGCTGCCTTTTGAGGGTGGTCAGATTAATCAAGCCATCCCTTAACACCAACTTCCTTCACATTTCATCTCGCATTATCGCTCCATATAGGCAGTACTAATCTCACTTTTCATTCTCTCACTTTCTCAGGATTCAACCTCAGCCCACCACAAGGGCTGGTACACTGTCTTTGTGATGAATCCAAACTTTCAGATGGTGTAGGCGAAAAAAGGATTTCAATATTTCTTTATCAGCTTGTATCATCCTGTGATTTCTTGATTGACCAGACTCCTCAATAATCGTCATAGGTGAGAAAGAAAAGGAAATAAAATTATTCTCAATCTCTTTAGTGATAAGAACAAAAGTTTATGTTACCTCTGTTTATGCATTTTTATGATCAGCAAGACAACACAGGCTATCTATATACAGTCACTTCAAAATAATAATTAATTTTTCTTTATCACTTCTATTCAAAGTAATCTGAATTATTGCTGGATATAAAATTTATCTTGATGAATATCACAGAAATTATAACATACAAGCCTGTCAAACTCATTGTAGGGACACTTTTATTCTGGGTGGCTGATTCAAACCAGGTTTTTTTTCCTGGCTCTTTCTCCAGAGGAATCATAAAAAAATTGTAGAGATATATGGTAGTAACAGACATTGTTTTAAGATCAGCATCTCATCCATAACTCTTAACCTTCTTTATAGTAATATCAATAATAATACGTATATGGAGTCATAGATAGTCTTTATGTGTACAAATAAACAATATCATACTTTTGTGATGATATATCATAATATATATATGATATATCATAATATATGATATATCATAATATATGATCATAATCATAATTGGAACTATTGGTAGTTTTTAGCTGATTTAGAGTAAAGTTTTGTAAAAGATGAAAACACATTTGATGCGTCCCGTTTTTTAATCATTTCAACCCAAGTAAGGCAACAAAACTATTAAGACATAAAGGGTTACTGAGTTTTAGATGTGACACGTAGGGTCAGTCGTAGTCTACAGCAACCAATTATGACCCTTTTCGCTTGTCGATTATGGATCAATTCTTATGCTGGTCAATATTACCGATCAATTCTTATGCTGGTCAATAGTTCTGCCCCTCGTTGTGTCGTTTGATGACGGATTCGGCAAAGACCAAGTTGTTGTCAACAATTGTAGCACTGGTTCGATCATGACGAAGCTATGTCCCAAAGGAAAAAAAAATGTTCTTTGCAGAAGAAATAAAGAAAAGACAAAAAATTCTTCAGGGTTTATTTTTTATGTGGTTTATATCTTTCTTTGTATAGCAATATTAACCCTTCTTACTTTGAATTCTATCGTGACACTTTGTTCAATTTAGCTAAGTTTGGAACAAGGCTTAAGTCGGTAGTTCTCTTTAGCAGTAAGTCACGTGGGACTCGGCAGCTGCTCCTTCTGTCTGATCTCGTCTGCGTCTCTGGTTAGTGACTCTGGAACTGGATTTTGGTCACTTCAGTGTTCTGCTTATATTGACTATTATCCAGGACTGGGGATCAACATGGTTAGGGGACCCGATGTTTTCTCTATCTTCCACCAAAAATTCTTTGTTGTCTGGCTTTGAAGAATTAATTATCTCCCCAAATTTGGGAGATCCCTTTTTACTATGGGCAGTGGTCGCAGGTATTGGCGTAATGGGCGTAGGCAATTCGTCTGTCCTTCTTGGTATCTCACCTACGCCTGTCACCTCGGTTCTCATTTTGACAAATCTGCTTTTCAAACGGCGTCGCATGTCTTAACTTCTGGTCATTAATTAGAATAATCATTTTAATTTCTTGTCAGCATTTTTTTCCCAGCCTGCTGTTGTTCATAGAATCAGAAATTTACTGTTTCCTCCGGTCAGCTATCTCCATATGTTGTTAGGGTTATCGCAGTTTAAGAACCCTGGGCTGGGTGTTTACATAAAGAAATTCTACTTCTCCATTTGTTTACAAATTCCACTTTTTGATAGGTGGAATAAATCTTTTTTTCTTTAATTCTGCCTTTAAAAATTACCAGATATAATCTTTTCAGTCGACTTTCTTTCCGTTTGGTCCCTAGGAGATGTTTTCGTAACTTCCACTTTAAGGCAGAGCCAGCAATTAATTGTCAACCCAGCTTGACCAGATGGCCTTTGTGGTAACAACTTTTCTCCAAAACAGCAAAGTCACTTTCTTCAAGCCGCCTCTGCTTAAAAAATAGACTTTCAAAATCAAAAGCAATTTCAGTTCATTCTTTAACCCTTTTCGTCTTGTTCCAAGTTATATTTTAATTTTAACCCTTTCTTTCCGTTTGCCAGTGTCACATAGTGTCACATATAAGAAAAATATACTATTAAGGAGAGAAGACACTGAATGAACAACAATTAAGATGACAGATAACAATTGCATTTAAAACGTTGCATTTAAATCTTTGAAGATCAAGGTTGACTGAGAAGCAAGAAGCCGGAAGAGAGTTCCACAAGCGAGAAGTGTGAGAGAAGAAACTCTTAGAACAGAACTTACGGTTGCATCTAGCTGTCATTTCAACTGTAAACTGATGAGACCTTGCCATCAATGTTGTACTGCACTTAAATTCATAAAGTCTAGGTATATTCGAATGAATTTCATCAGAACAAGTACCATGAAATTATTTATAGAACAGGCAGAGGGAAACAACGGCGAGGAGGGGACTGAGGCCGAGTTGCCAAGTCACACTTAATACGTTTTGGTTTATTTAACAAAGATGGAAAAACTCCTACATCATTGTGAAAAATGATATTTCTACTTAGAAATTACC